TAACTCCGAGCTCTCAAGTATCCTCTGGAACTCATGTTACCTGAAGACAAATTTTCACCTACGTTACTGGTAGAAATTGTTTGAAACTATTTACAAAAAATGTTCCATTAGCGGATTTGTCAGGTACTATTTGAGAGACCAACATCAATTTTTCATAATTTAAAAAAAGTTCTGAAGTAAATTACTTTGCTATAAAACTATTACTGTCATATTATTTTAAATATGTAGGGGTTAAATATATTAAATGGGTTGAAACAGGAAATGAAAGTTCGTCTATTTCATAGTCGCCGATTGGAGGAGAATGGTGTAGATGTCCTCGTCACTCTAAGAGTAATTGCAGGATATGCGGAACTCTGACCACAAACAAAAAAAAATATCTGGCGTATTCAAAGGCCGTTCAAGAGAAGGTATATTATCTAACCATAACCAAATCAAAACGTCAGGTATAGAAAATAGCTCCCTCATTCTCGATATGAAATTTCACATCCATGTTCTTCAAGAATTAGTAAGTTTAAAACGTCTAAGATTTTTATGTATTTCAAATTAAAGTATTTTTTTATTGAAAATCGATACACGAAACATTTACGTTTGCACGCGTCTGCATTGCATACGTTTGCATGCGTAGAAATTGTTTATTTTAATCTTAAAACAAGCATAACAACGAAATAGAATAAAACAAACTGAAACGTAACAAGTAAATAATATCTCAGGTACTCAAAAAATGTTATTTTGTGGACGTACCATGCTCATCTCAACTAAGTATCTACCATGTAATCTCAAAAAGCACATGGATACCATAACTGAACAAGTAATTTGATTTATATTCTAAAATGAGAAACAGAATAGTAAAAAATCCAATAATCTTCGAATTCAAACGATCAAGCTTACACAGATAGGAACAACATATCAGATAATTCAATTCTCTACAATATATTCCCTTATATTTTCATTGTAAATATAATATATTCGTAAAAAGAGCAAATTCTTCAGATGCATCTCAGATGTCATTCAATATTTCATTAGCCATTAAAGTACACACATTAAGACTCTCCTCACCTTAAAGAAATGTGCCAAACAGCATGCAAAGTCAATTCGGTAGGTTATTGGCCATTAGGATACGAATAATCATAAATAAGTATTCAGTAACACGGCTTCTGAAGAAGAAGAAGCCCCTTATTTTCGCAAGACGTGGAGTGAAGAACACGAAAGAAGTCGTCGTGCGATGCAGTCACGCCCCGTGAAAGAGCACGCGCAGACGCTACGCCTCACGAAGCCACTGGAGGATCTTTCAGGGGGAGGGGGAACAAGGTTGAGAAGCTATTGGTGCTTGGAACAGACATTTCGAGAACGGGATGCTCCTTTCGACATAGCTGTTATCTAAGCCCAAGATAACGATCGAAACACGCATTTTGTAACGTTTTCTCTCGATTTCCAGACTATAAATTATCTTATTCACGACTCTGATTCTTTGTTTAATTTCACCTTTTGGGCTCTATTATTCAATTATTAGACACGCGTGTTTTAATATTTAGCAAATATGGGTTAACATAATTCGAACAATATAATGCAGAAAACATGCAAAATTATAACGAAAAAATATTTAGATATACTGGGTTTCAATAATATCTGAACGTAAACTTTTGCATCATGAATGTAGAAATCTGTTAGTTTATGTTACAAATATAAAATCCTCCTGGAGTAGCATAAAATTCGTTAACCTCAATGGAGGAAATAAAGAGAATATTCATTAATAATAAACTCTAGTTGGACCCATGCGAACATTTTGCACGTTGGGCACCATTGTTTTAAAAGTGAAAATAACTCAAATTGGAACCCAACAAGTGGTGTCTCATCATACAGATCCAAACCATAAAGTTTTTGGCGACAGGTATTCCGTTGTACTCATTTTAATGTTGCAAAATGTTTTTGACAAACAAAAAGACTTAGAACTATACCAATTACTTGCACAGAATATGAAATAGACAATTAAATATTACAACGAATATATTGCTTTACTTTCCGTCTTTACCTTTCTCAAAAAGGACTGACAGTGAAAGAGAAAATTTCCTAAAACGGAAAAGCTGGTAAATGTGAATTATAAAAGCATGCTAAAATGTAAAAGGAGATCCAGGAAGATCTAAGTTTGGAGATAACGATAGAAGAAACATAAAGCTTAGGGCACAACGGGTTCAAGAAAACCTGCGTTAAGAGCCCAGAAATCGCAATTTTCGAGTTGCAATCCGTAGTAACAAGTTTTGTACCGTTACGTGTATTTCCGATTGCATGCACGTCCTTAAATGATTTTCTAAGAAGTTTTTCGAAAAGTCAGACGTTTCCTCTGAAAATGAAGAAGAGTTAAGTTGCGCAGTAGTAGAAAAGCTCAGAGGACATTTTCTCAAGAACGGATTCAAATTTTTCGATGATAATTGGCAATTAGGGTCATGATTTACTCTTCTGTAATAGTATTGGGAGAGGGTTCCTGGGGTTCGAGTCTCGACGGCGGCAGGAATATCGACACTCGTCAGATAAATCGAGTTCAGTCTCTGTTTGGAGGAGAAATCTAGCGGCCGGCTGTTCTGATCGGAAGTTTCAGTGGTTTATCCGTTCAATACCAACTCAATGCTAGAGCAGTACCCTACCAAACGGGCCACGGACGGCGCGGGATATTTTCTTTCCATTCCTTGTCTTATTCTCACCCCTCACACACACACGTACACTTACACGCACTACAGTACCACACATGCCGTGACACCGCTCGGGATCCTAGAGCTTCTCCCGACTGGTGATGGGAGACATCTGTGTGGGGGAAAACCCCGCCAGTCGATCGGCACCGAATGTCACTATCCAGAGGGGCAAGAAACACCCCCTCGAGAGAAAAACATGCATTACATTTACGGGACTAAAGACCTTAGCAGTTGGCGCGCCCGGTAAGAGCATAACTCAGACTCTTGTTTTTTCAACTTATTATTTCCTATTATAGAAAAAAATATTTGTTACAAAAGTATTCTTATATTCCAATCTCAATAATATTTTAAACACATGATCTTTCGTAAAAACTACTCCTTCTCCCTTTTCTACCAATAAAACTTAAGTTGTCTCTTTCTGTTCTTTTGGGGGGGGATAAATATCTAAAAAACTGAATGGAAATCTTTAAAACTGAATTCAACGTTTTTCAAAGCTCATAAATGTTTTCACTAAATCAAGTTTGAATCAGTTTGATAGATGGATTAGACATTGAGTAATGTATGATCAAAATTATTACTCGAAGTTGGCCGGGACTTATAGCAGGCTTAGTATAGGATGATTACTTTAGTTATTCAGAAATATTTTTAATATTGCCAAAAATATAATATTCTATGGCACTATAAATGCTTCACACTTGAGATATACTTGTATTTTTTGGGTAAAGCTGAGCGCATTTGCGTTCATTGAAGTAATGTCAACTGAACCTATTCGAGGCAGTTAATTTCAAAGGCAGTTTTCGTGATAAATGATAAGCAGTAAATAGAAGAGTCAATATTACAAGTGAAAAGTATAAATAATCACCTTGATGATTTAATGCATCATAATCCTTGAATTCAATTTTAGTACACCAATTCACTTGTCAGTGAAATCAATACCAATCCATAACATATCAAAATCAGAGCCAAGAAGATTTAATGAATATTCATCAAATATTATGAGTAATCCATCTGTCTAATTTAATTTAACACGTCTCAGAAAACACCCATGAAATAAAACACATCAACAATTTGAAGATCAACCAACCCAACAGAAAATTTAACATCACCTTCTGTACGAGCCTCCTGTTTTTGGAAATCAAGAGTAAGACACTTTATTCAACATGTTGGATTCGTTGATAGTCCGATTCCTGTATTCTCAAGATCAAGTCCAAATTCTTCTATTTAATATACTAACTTTCAGAGGTTTGGTGAATCCGAAGGGTATTGTGCTTTAAAACTTAAAAAAGTTAGATGTCGTGGCAATCATCACCACTCGAAATGTACGCTTGAAGAGAATTCCTCTTCTCCCAAGTGTGTGAATTGGAGTTCGTATTACCCAGTAAGTTGGAAATTTTGGGAATACCCCAAGTATATACTAAAATGTGCTTCAAATTCGTTTTCTCTAATTCGTCGAAGAAGTGTACCGTCCAATGGAACATTCGTGCTTTATGAAAATAAATTGATGTAATGGAATGAAAGTGTTGTTCCACCATAGTCGAGAGGGGCTTCTAGATGATGGTGACTCATGGGTTCCTAGGGCACTCATAATGCAATATTACATTCGAATTATTTTTGTTCCTAATCATTTGCTACTTCCTCCTTCTTAGATTATTACCACTGTAGTTACTCAAACAATAATAGGACTTATTCCTATAATCATTATAAGCACCTTTTAACAATTTTAAATTTAAAGATTGAACTCTAATGCGGAGTAAAAAGACAAAAGAGTCAATTAGGATTCATTTTTGTCAATTTAATATCACTGTAGTTTGTATTTCAGAAACGTGTAATTTTCCTCATTCACAATTCCTCATGATCAAATTTATCGAATTGTCAGACTTGCAGATACAACTCGGGGTGGTGTAAGAATCGTATTCATCAGAAAACTAAATTTTCTTTAATTAATAGACCTTTTAAAAGTAATATTGAAACTAGAGGTATCTCAAAATTGATAATCAATTGACTTACATTATTGTTATTTATAAACATCCTGACAAACCATTGAGCAAAAGTAATGATCATTTCCTACGATTTAAGTCAATATGTTTAAAGAATAAGTTCGGTCCTCTTAAACTATTATCTTGGCATCCTTTATTTCAATTTGTCTTCTTCCCTACCTCTTTTTCATTCTGTACATTATTTTAGAATTATTTTAGTTACTTTAGAACTATTTTAGTTTGTTTTAGTTAGTTATTGTTTTAGTTATTAAGTTTACCGGGAGTATGCAACAATACCTACATATCTTTGCTGTTGTGGATAGTACCGTTACTGTTAGCAATGATGATCGTAGCGAATAGCGGGTGGGTAGATTTGGACAAGAGAGGCAGGGACAAGCGAGGCAGGGCCAGGTCAGGGCAGGTTGAGGTCGGACAGAGTAAAGCTGGGCAGACGGGAAAGGGGCGGTTTCGCCCACCTTTGGAATCATATAGTACTATTACTTTTTGATCAGTCTGCGACGGTTGCAGTTATGTCAGACTATCAAGCTAAAATGACGGAAGTGTAATTTCGTTTAAGATAGAAATAACGGGACTTCTTTGAGAAATGAAAAGCTTTCAATGAAAACTGCTAGTTTTATAACTTATTACTAGTTGATCTCGGAATTTTGAAATTAATTTAATTAATAAATGCACCATATTTAAATTATTATACATAGGATAAGACATTTGAATGCACATTTTCAGGGTGGGAGCAGCAGTGGAGACTAAAGGGGTGTCGGGGTGAGACAGAGCAGGCCAGAGTAGGGTGGAAATGCATTATATCTAGAATACATTCCCTTTTCTTTCTAAACGAAAATTGTAGTTAATAAATACCCTCGGTATAGCGGGGTACTTCAGCTAATGAGAGAAACATGGTGAACAGAGCTGGCTATGATATTGTGGGAATACATCCTCCTGAATTCATTACCTTTTATTTCTTAAAATTATTGTGATTTCGACATCGCGAGGTACTTCAGCTAGTGAAAGAATAAAACTGAACATTTAATCAAATGACGTAGTTGAATGAATGGATTATCTTTCTCAGCACCCAAGTGTAGATGAATAAGTGCAATTTTCCAGAGGAGCGGAAAGTGTGAAGAAGGACGGCTTCGCCCCCGCCCAGACGCCCGTCGCGCTCGGCGGGCTCCGGCGGGCGAGGGGGCGGGCGGGCGCGTGCTGACCGCCGCGACAACGCTCCGTGGAGCGTGTCGGGCGCGGGCGCCGCGCGAGCGCAGCACTGTCGCGCGGTGGCGGCGGGGGCGGTGGGGCGCGGGCTCCTGCGCCGCGGGGCCCCCTCGCTCGGTCAGTTCGTAGTCCGGGCCCTCGCTCGCACAGCGCAGCTCAGTCCGCCCTGGCACCCGGCACCATGCAGGCGACCCTCCTCAGCGTCCTGGCTCTCAGCCTCTGCGGCCTGGGTGAGTACCCCGGGAGCACCCGTGAGTCACCGCCAGCCAGGAGCCCCCCACTCGACCATAGTGGGGCCATAGCCATTTCATTACTACTTTACATCCATTTATTTTCATAAAGCACGAATTGTTCTTTCCATTGGACAATATCCTTCTTCGACACGACCGTCCAACAGCTAGACATATCCTCTCAGTCAACAACGCCCCGCTCTGCCTCGTTTCTCTTTGTTTGTCATTGATTTCCAACCTTTTAAAACCCTTTTGTTTGCTACTGCAAGATCAATTGAGTCTGACAACATCGTGCCATTGTCTGTTGAGTAGTAGACACGCTTGCAGGTTGCATCGTCCACAGACCGCAACGCGCAGTGCTGCGTGCGAAAGCGAGTCCTCTCTTATAAGGCGACGGGATGACAGCTGTGACCTACATAGACTCGCCTGCCCAGCTGCGGCTCTTCACAGTCGATTTCTTCTTCTTCTTCTTCTTCTTGACGACTCGACTCCTCCTCCGTCGACGTCGTAGTTGTTTTTGTCCCACCTGCGTCCTTGGGCGCGGTGCAAACAGCAAACAAAGCTTTCGTGTGTTGAGGAGGAGGGGGGCGGTTTGTTGCTTTCTCCGAAGCAAGAATGTGTATATGGAGATGCATTTTGGCTCGTTTCACGCAGTGGGTTGTGTCATCTGTGACGCACTTCCAGGAAATACGAAAGGATGCGGACGTACAAAAAAACGAAAGCGAAACTGACACCCATCAGACATTTCCTACTTCAGAAGGAAATTATAAAATCTGGGCAACGCGGCACTTCCACGTCGATGTAGAAAGGAGCGGTGCTTTTCGCGCCGGACGTGTGGGTGGCGGAGGGGAGGGGCAGCTGGCGGGCGCCCACTGCCCGGAGTGAACGTAAGCTGCCCCCGTGGCCACTGTGGCCGGACATTGGGGCGAGCAGACTGCCTGAGGCCGTGCGGGATTGCGTAAGGGAGTAGAGTGCGAACCGGTTCTGGACAGCCGGAGTGATTCAGTGCAGAGCACTGGGACGTGGCCGCGTCGATGCACTGCAGCTTTCGTTCACTTTACAAGCAGTTCGTCCATCATTAGAGTATTACAGCACAGTTATTTTTTCATCAGTCTGCGACGGGATATTATAAACGAGAGCAAGAATTGCAGTTAAATGTCAGACTATCTAGCTTCAATGAAGGAAGTCTTATTTCGAATTGGAATAGAAACAAGTTGATTTCTTTGACAAAAGAAGTGCTTTCAAACAAAAAAAATCCCTTGCATAACTTAATTGTTCATTTAAAAACTTTAATATTAAATTAATTAATAAATAAACATTGAAATTGTTATGGCACTGTTGGACAGGATAAGACACTTGAAGTTACATTTTCAGAAATGTATTCGTAATTGCCATTACACAATAATGAAAATATACTGCCTTCAAATATACTTTACAGTTACTTACACACTTCTCGAAGAAAATAAAACCAACATTTAAATATGTTTTTATTAATGCTCTTCAAATATTTTCTAATTTGGGAACATGTCACAGGTACGTCCAATTAAATCTGATCAAAAAATTCGCATAATTTAGAAAATATTCAATTTGACATTTTGAAGTAAACAAAAATAGTCTACAATCATTAATAAGCAAAAAATAATCATATTAATATATTTTAATACATAGATCTACACATCAGTCAGTATGATATGAATTTAATCGTTTAAAGGGTGTGAATTATGATTGTAACAAAGAAGCATTTTTTAAGAATAACTACACTTAAGACATTTCAATATTTGAATCAACATTAAAATTAAATTCAGTAATTCATGACTGTGCGCCGAAGACTGAAAAGAAACAAAATTCCTCTGATTCATAAAAATAGATTTCTTTTATAAAAGAGAGACGTTTCAGGGTTCTGGAGGATGAAAGTTTGCCCCTAATTGGCGCAGAACTGAAGAAACATGGCGGAGACTAGAACGCAGGGAGAGGAGAGAAACCCAACTCTCCGTCGGTCTTGCGGAACGTAATGACATCGCGAAATGGCAGTGTGGAGTTATTTGCCACGGAGCGTTAGTTGGTGATTTCAACTGGTGGCAAACTGGATTAAATGTGGTAGACACAAGGTCAATCGTTATGATCTCACGACTTCCATTTTATTGCAATATTGAACATAATACAGCGAACGAGGAATGCTGATGGGTTATGTCATGTACTTTTCAATTCATCACATCAAAGTAACCTTACTTATCTTCTTAACCAGCTACGCACAGTATTACAGACGCTGTGATCCTAAGTGTGACATACGCCTCAATGGTTGTTATTCAGAACTGATTGCTTTTTTATTATAAAACATTCTATTCTTGAAATGAAAGCCCTCGTTGACTCTTTGGTTAGCGTGCTCACTTTCCAAGGCGCAAGCCCGTTCAATTCCTGGTCGGGACAAAAATTAATTGTGTGCTTTTCTTGAAATGACCTAGTATCTGCTACTTTGTGACGAAGAGAAATTCCACTTACCAGATAGAGAATACCATATTACAGCGTACGGGTGGCTATGTACTAACCAGACGTACCCCTAACCCATGGCCGCAAGGCCGAGACGTTGCTGGCAGGTCTCAGCTCGTAAAGAGCTGTGGTGCCAAAGTACATACATTCTCGAAATGAAAACAGAAACTGATTGAAAACTAGATTTCGTGTTTATTATGAATGTTCCTTTCTATTCAAACAATTATTTATTATATAAATGAAGAGAAATCCACATACAACATATAATACTAATGCAATGAATAATTGCTGTTTTATTTAAATTTCCGCGAAAGTGTAACATGATCATTGAGGGAGTTCAGTAAACATACCAGTAATAAATAAGACACTTGTACTTTTGAAAGCAAAGTTCGAAGCTTTTGTTAAGAAGAGCAAGAAAAAATAATACGTTTAGACATCATTTACAAACACGTATCAGTAAAATACCTTACGATGAATTGCCAAAGCTTATTCAGACTTCATTGGTGAACAAAGAACTGTGCAATTTTTGTCTACGGATTTCCCTCTAACGCAACAAAATACGAACACGAAGCGCACAGAATAGAACAGTCAAATCAATCTTTACATAAGAAATCGAACGCTTTCTGAAACTTTCCCGCTCGGATCAATCAGATAATGCGAGAAACCCCACGAAAGCGGCGGATCGCGTGGGGGAGGATCCGCCAGCCGCCGCCTGGCACGGCCACGGTCACCCGGAAGAGGCACCAAGAGGCGGAGGGGTGGACGGGCGGAGGCGGTGGAGGGGTGGACGCATGGGTGGGTGGAGTGGGCGGAGGGATGGATGGGATGGGGAAGGGAGGTGGAAGCATGCATGGATGGAGGAGGAGAAAGGGTGAAGGGATGTTCGGTCGAACGAGGTGGAAGGATGGAAGCACGGGTGGGTGGAGGAGGAGGAATGGAAGCATGGATGGGTGGAGGCATGCGTGGGTGTAGAAGGAGGAAGGGTGGAGGGGGTGGCGGGGTGGACGCGTGGGTGGGTGGAGGAGGAGAAGGGATGGAAGCATGGAGGGACGGATGCATGCGTGGGTGGAGGAGGAGGAAGGGTGGAGGGATGTTCGGGTGGAGGAGGAGCTGTGGAAGTGTGGGTGGGTGGAGGGGGTGGAGAGGGAGGAGGCGTAGAGCTCCGAGCGGCGGCGCCTTAGCGGAACGCGCCCAATTTGAGCGCCCTCTCATCACGCCACGTGTAACCCTTACGCTATTACGCCGCCACGCCTTGCTGCGCTTGGGAAGTCCGCGATGACCACTCGCTTGCATGTCTATGCGCTTCTGCTCAAGAGGGTGTGCACGTCTTTGACGTCTTCATTAGCGATCACAAGTTTTTGAAATTGATTTAATTTTTTTAAATTACATTCAGTGGTTAGGCGGGAGAGCAGGCCCTATGGCCTGAGCCTCGCCATTAATAAAGACATTATTATTATTATTATTATTATTATTATTATTATTATTATTATTATTATTATTCATCGATTAGCAGGCATAAGGGACAATACCATTGGGACAATTCCTGCTGTTCATCTGATTGATAATATCATCAACGTTTTCCAGGTTCGCAGTTAGATGATGACGGCTTGAAGAAAAATGATCAGGGGAGTAATGAAAACGAACTTGGAAAAGGTTATGGAATGTGCCAGGGATTTGAGATTATTCCCTGAAAACTTGACACGAACCAGTAAATTTGTTCAACACAAATTCCATCTTCAATGGATGGGACTTGAGCCACTAAACCCACAGATAGGAAGCTTAAAGATCGGAATTAGAAGTTCTGATAATTAATGTTATTGTCGTCAGAACGAATATTAATGAATTCAAAAATAAACATCTCTACACATTTTTTAGGAAGAGAAATATGTAAATAAGTAAATAACAGTTTATAATAAATATATAATATAAATCGTAAATAAATAATAGAAAATTAATAGTACACAAAAAGGTATCAAAATGCATCTAATCTATTTAGAACCATTTAAACTAACCGTATTTTATTTTTATTTACCAATCTGCAACCAGATGACTTGATGAATTAAGACAATGAAAATCAGACAGAGTTAGTCAAGAGCAGCCAATACCGATGTTTGGTTTTCGGGTTGTCACTAAAGTGAAGTGAAATTCAGTTTCATTGTTCAATATAACGTACGTTTCAGAAAATTTATGATTATTGTATTGATTTTGCGTGTCTTTCTTGACGCTATTGATGGTTTACCGTAATAACAATTTATGTAATGTCGTGAAACAACAGAATCAACCCATTTCTTCCTAGTAGAAACTTTCTATCCACAACTCACCACATGACGTCAATGTCCTCATCGCCATCGTATTCCAGGCAGGGAAACGAGGTTCGATCGATCATAAATATCGCCGTGTGGGCGATCGATATCAGGCCATTGATACGGCGTTGGTTAGAAATCGCCTTATTCGCGGCGCTGGCAGCAGCGGGCAGCGGCGGGCGGCGGCGGGTGGCGGGCGGCGGCGGGCGGCGGGCGCGGAGGCTGGCCGCCTTAGAAAGTGCGGCCGCCAGCGAATTGCAGCCCGCGGGCCGGGGCCGGTCCCCGAAGGTCGCCCGCGGAGCTGGCAAGTGGTATTTCACTAAGCCACCCATAACCCCACATCCCCCTCCCCCTTCGCTTCAACCAAAGCTACTGTTGACGGTGGTCGCAGCTGGTAGTGTAATTATTATAATTATTCCAAGAATTGCAAGAATTCCAAGAATCCAACTTATTGCCATTTCTTAATACCTTGCTACGGAGGCAACATTCTTCTGGATAAAGGTTTATATGTCTTGTCTATAAGGTTTACTACAATTGATTTAGCAGAATGTGCAAGTACTGTCCAGTCCTGTGTTTGTCATTCGCTATAAAGTAAATACGATCCCGGCATACAAAAATTCCATTTACTTGAAGCTAATCCTCAATAAGCACTTGTTCGTTTACCGAATTGTCAAGAATCTAACATTTATATTCGTGAATTATCACCTCACCTTTTTGTGAGAATTTTCAAAAGGACCCCTAAAATAACAACAAGTAAATTCATCTAATTTTGATAAAGATTTTTCAAATATCTCTACTGACGATATTTCTGCGTCAATGATCCAGTGTGGAAAGAAAATTTACTTGATATCTCGAAGATGTATTATACTAATACATAATTAATAAATATGGGGAGGGTACATTTAGTATAATTATTATAAAGGTTCCGAGGATTTATTATCTTTTGTCATTTGTTAATACCTTAATACCTAATGTAACATTTTGATGAATATAGTCTGAAGTGTGTGAAATGTTTATTACACTTTTTCTCGTATCTGCTGTTAACCGTGTTTGCTGACATATCCCGTTTTCTTTTCTCTTTCCTTGTTTAATCCTCATTGCTAATTCTCGTGATGCTCGTGCTTTCTTCAACGTTGAATAGTGTTCATATCTTTTGTCTTCGTCTTTGGAGGCAAATACCGTTCTTGTTTCCTAAACTTTTGATCAATGATAATTCATATACTACCCCTGGTACCAATACGACTTCCTGCTGTTTTTTGTCTCTCTTTTTATCAATTTTCTAGCGTACGTCTTGCATTACAATTAGTGACGTCAGCGGAGTAGTTTTACTTACTCTTGTTAGGGAAAAGGCATCCCAAACGCGTGTATTTTCCTTTTTTACTGCGCTACTACTCTGCTTCTGTTTTAACTTTTTGTACTTATAACTCGAACTCGTATTACGCTATCTCTGGACTTACTTGCCACCGCTAATGGTAAACCATTCTTCGCTTGACTGGAATGGAATGAATGGATGATTGTAATCAAATGAACAGATCCACTCATTTTCAGATTCAAATATTTATACCACTGTTGCAATTGTTTAAGTTCATTATTGTAATAACATTATTTCTTTCTTGAATTTGATGTGGCACCTCTATATTTCTTTCCTATAAATTTTTCTTTCCATCTTCTTCACTTAGTTTACTTTCGATGTTCATGGTTCTAGAGTTACTATCAAAGTTTACAGAATATTCCGATTTTCAAGGAAAAATTAACTGTCTATAAATTTTTCCCTTTCACTTATTCAATCAATCATTCTAAGTACATTCATCTGTTGCTTTTAATATTCTTCACTGTGACAGAATGGTTTCCTGCGGCCAGATTCCAAGGTTACACTTTGATCTATTTCAATAACCTTTTTTCTCACTGTTCAATATGCTTTGAATTTACTTTCCACTCGAAGCACGCAAGTGTGGTTTTAATTGACTTGAAAGTAATCATCATAATTTTCCTATTTCAGCATTCCAAACATACTTAGTTACCATATATTTCTGTGCATGTCACAATATGATTACCTTTCTCGTGTTCAAAGGCATCTGAGCAAAGTAAACAGCTATCATGGGCAACTTAATCCAATATAACGCACTACAATAAGTGTTTGTGCGATGTTTTCTCTCTCCTCAGCTAAATTGCAATGTATGGAGTTAAGTGTGGAATCATCAGTTTATGAGTCTGAAAGTTACGTTTAAACTCCACTTCTAATATTTCTAACAATGTTACTTTACACTTTCTACCATTTTTTTAGTCATCGTTCATCGTTATCGTTGCCACCACCCACCGTTATCTTCACTCCATTCTTGTTTCACATTGTGTTCCATCACCACATTCATTACCCACCGACGAATATCTGACTTCATTACCACATCCATCATAACCACCATCGACAGCTCCGTCTCTTCCACCAACTCCACCCCCACAATCTCTATCAACACGATCACCACCGCTCCTACATTCGCCATCGACGCTCCTAGATCGCGCATTGACCATTCTTCATTATGCTGGTGCCTAATTAATTTTCTTCAAACCTGGAATGGGTGAGTAATCCGATGGTTTCGAGGATGCTAACGTGAATGATGGAGTGGGGGAACGCGAGGCAGAGGAAACGGGAGAACCCCGACAAAACCCGACTCGAATCCTAATAAGTCCCCCACAAATTCCGCATGAAACGGACCGAGACTTGTACCCTGACAGTAGCTGTGGAAGGCGAGCGGTCTGACCCCAAACCCTCGGGTCGCCCTGGCGGGGCATCGACAACGGTTGCGCGTGCCCTCACCGCCGCCGCCAGCGCCGCAGGTGATCGCGTGCGCCGTAACTCGAGGCGCCGCAGCCTCCTTCACCCGCCGCGCCCCACCGCACGCGCTCACCCGCACACGCGGCTCTGTCCAGGCGTCGCGCCGCGCCGCGCCAGCCCGGGTGAATGGCCCGCTCCCGCCCGCACTGCCTGCTCGTTTGCGACAGATCGCGTGCAACCCTGCTGGCGTGCATACGATACCTCGCCGAAGTCGCTCGCCTTGCAGCGACCATTTTGTTTGGATTGATTTTCACACTCGTGGATCGGTTTGATTACGTCAAAGTAATTACGTCGGTGAACTACTCCTGCCGTACATTGACCGTATTTTTGTTGACATTGCTTCAACTAGCGCCAGTACAACGACTATGGACACTGAATCGTGCCAGGTCACTCTCGGTGTGTGATGTAGTTAATACATTTCAATCCACCTGTGATAATTTTATTATATTTCTCAGAATTTCAATTTTTTTATGGCTATTCTAAGAAAAATAAGAATTAGTAACGATACAATTCTCAATTCAATAAAAAATATTCCCAATGTTCTAAATTATAGCATAATACACACATACAAAATATGTAAGAAACAGGAGAAACTAAAAAACAATCCACTTTTCTACCGCACGCGATCTTATCAAGACATCTTGACTTATCAAGAGATTATTACACAAACATTCGTACAAAAATTTAACCAAGAAAATAAAACCATGAAAACTGCTAAGATGGTACATAGATACATAGAGAAAGAATTTTACATACGGTAGTTAACGTAATTTAAATATTAAAGTATTGAACTAGACATACTAACACAAAAATATCGTCTTCTCATGGCAAAATATTCTTTGATCATATTTTTTCCTAGCTATAACAAATTTTCTCTTTTTCGCGACTTAAATGGTGATTGATGGCGATCTGGTAAGAATAGCAGAGGTCGACAGATAAGAAACGCAATGTGAAGGCTTTGTGATGTCTTAGCGACCTTTGACTTAATCTTAGAGTGTGGTATAATGTGATAAACATTTCAAATAAGTAGCTTAATAAATACACCAAGAGAATAAAAAGTCACAAAAAGTGTATCTGACGTTATTCTTTTGTAGTAAACAATGATGTGAACTTGCTTTGTCATCAGTTAGAGTGAGATATTGTGTAATGTTTCCTACAAATACAAACTTCTATTAATGTAAATCAGTCACATATCAGTAGATAAACTAATCAGTAGAAATTATCTTTCCTTTAATTCCCCAAATGTTTTTAGTGCAAATCTTGTAACATGTTGTTTCCCGGTATACAAAAAGAAGTTACTTAACTCACAAAAAGGGCGTACTAACACGGAATTTACGACGCTCATTTCGACAGCTAACATTGTCAAGCGCCGGTTATGGAGCACGTTGAATTTTCGAACAACGGTCACGTCAGCGCAAAGCACTGAACAATTATGTAAGCGAGAAAGTGCCCCTTACGTTGGCACTGAAGTCGTTAAGAGACATTGAGCTGTCGAT